TATAAATACTCTGATGAATTTTTAATGCAAGTGCAGAATTTAAAGCAGCAGCCACTGGATTTGCTCTCCAGGTTCCATGAATTCTCCGATGGGTTCCTTAGCACAGCCACCACTGATTTGTTGAGCTCTTTTTTGCAGGATCTGTTTTTGTGGTTGGTAATGGCTATTGACTGCTTCCTACACTTTTTGTGTTTATTAGCTTCCACTCATAAAATTTGGTCAGACAGCTGCTTATGGCTCAACCTTTACAAGCTCATCCCAGTGTCGCAGAAAGCTGTCTGTCCCTGGTAAAGCTCTGGAGCTGCTGTTTAAGAGGAGCTTTTTACAGCCTTGCAGTGCAATCTGCATTTCCCAGTGCATTTCAGCCATGCTCTGTGCTGGGAGCTCCCTGCAGCCTCTCAGAGCCCTGCGGTCCCTGATCCCAGCAGATCCCAGCAGATCCCAGCAGATCCCAGCAGATCCCAGCAGATCCCAGCAGATCAGGCTCCTCCCTGGGTTCTGCTGGCTGCTCACAGGTGTGGATTTATTTCTCCCATCAGCTTTGACGCCTCCTCCCCCTGTTGGGGTTCACTGAAGGGGTGGAAGTGGCCAGAGCAGCTCCTGCCCACAGCTGGGCCCCTCACAGCTGGCCAGATGTGCAGGAGAAGGAGAGGTGGCACCACACAGGGTGAGCTTCACCCAGCAGCTCAGTGCCAGCAACAACACCCACAGGGAACACCTGGGCAGAGCCTGCCCTGACTCCTCACCTCACTGAGCACCTCTCTCAGGGAGTTCAGAGCGCTGGCATTTCATTTTTTTTCCCCACTTTTCTTAAACTTTCACTAAAATGAACGTTTTCAAACAGGAGTCTTGTACTTGATGCTTAAACCCCACTTTTTCAGTGCAATTGTTCCCACTAAAATCTAAAATCTGTTATAAAAGAGAAAAACAGAACAAGTGGAATTGAGCAAAGCAGCCTGCCTGATTATTGATATTCTGAGATGTGTCAGTTTGAAGCCTTTTCAAGCACATTTTTGGTCCTGCTCCAAGTGCAGTCATTCCAGTGTTTCTTAAATGTCCAGAAATACAAAACAGGAACACAGAGAGGAAAATAAACCCATTGCAGGCTTTAACTTCTGAGTTCTTCTGAGAAAAATGGGAAATGCAAAGGAAAGTATTTAGAATTGTATTGGCAAAGTATAAATAATCACAAGCTACAGAGAGATCTGAAAGAAATAACTTGCATGATTTTCTGTCAAGTTTTGAAGGTTATTGTGACAAATTGGAAGTGTTCTTTGGACACTTGCATTGATCAGTAGGAGATTTTGGAATGCAGATGGCACTAGGAATATAGGATCTTATTTCATCTTGTGCTCTGACAGCTGAAGGAAAATGGTGAAGGCAGAAAAAAACCCAGGATGAATTTCTGCAGGGCCAAATTTCCACTTAGTGGAGTTTGGATCGTTGCTTGGATGGTTTCATTTTCTCACATGCTGAGAGGGAAGAGAGGTTTCATCATTCCTCCTATTTTCCATGAATTAATAAACAATTAAGAGGTGAAATTAGCAGTGGGGAATGATGGGAAACTGAGGACGCCAGTGCAGGAAAATCGCTGGCTTTTAGGCTGAACATGGAATGTTGGTGCTGCATTTTTACTGTCTTGGATCTGTCTCTCCAAGCTGGACACATCAAATCACTGAACCAGCAGGGCTGGCAAAGAGCTCCAAGGTCACCAGTTCCAACCTTTGGCCACCGTGTCACCCGAGCCATGTCACCAAGTGCCACCTCTGCTTGGTTTTCTGAGCACTTCCAGGGATGGTGACTCCAGCACTTCTCTGGGGAGCCCATCCCAATGTTTAACCACTCTTGCAGTGAATAATTTTTCCTGGTATCCAACCAACCTTCCCTGGCACAGCTGGAGGCTCTGTCCCTTCCCATCAGTGGCATGAACCAGGAAACCCCATACTTCTGTCATGGTTAGGGGCAAATGTGCCCCCTGCTCACACCCATTGTTTTTAGACCAAGACTCTTCCACTGTTTGGCATCCTCAGCATTTCTGGATCTAAATTCTGGGTTTTTTTTTTCCTGTGCTCCCACAGCCTCTCAGCCTTTGGTTTTTCCATTTTATTCCTTATGTAAAAGAGGAGCCAACTGGTTCCCCTGCCCACGCCCTGCTGGAGGCTCAGTGCTGGCCCTCTGAGCGGAGCTTTCTTCTCCCTGGGCACAAAGCTTTGCTGGGAATTAGTGAAACCTCTGAGGCAGAGGAGTAATGAGTGGTTCTCAACAGCATTAAAAGGCAGAGAGCACCCAGGGCAGGCGGCATCAAGGAACTGCTCTGCTCCAAAGAGCTGGATTTGCCTTTTCCCGGGATCTTCCGTCACTTCAGTCGCCTCCAAATGGAAGGGATTTCGCTCAGAAGTGCTCACACTTGATCCATCTGTAATTGCCTCCTGCTCCAAGCAGTGCTGCAGCTGCCAGCTGCTTTAACCCAAGCACTCCTCACACATTTTCTTCAGAACGTGTTGGAGTTCAGGACATCCCTGTGGCTGTCCTGGAGTGCCAGGAGCCCTGCCAGGGGCTCAGAGACCCTGGCACAGAGCCCAAGAACACTGTGGTTTTGATTATGACCCATGGAGCAAATGACCAACCTTAGATGAGGATCTGCAAGCCATGACAGTTTAAGTAGAATGACACTGAATTTATCACAGGGTGAAAAATAGATTTTGGGATTTTTAGAATGGGGGGTCAGGGGGCAAGATGGAGGAATCTGAGCGTGTCCAGCCTTTCTCCTTCTTTTTCTTCTTCTTGGCCTCCATCTTCTGCTGTGATGTTGGCACTTTTGGATTGGTTTAGAGTAGAAGCTCACTGTCTAACACAGGCGATAGGTTTGGGAAGAAACTGTATTGTACAGGTAGTTTTTAGTATAAGAAGATAACACCAGTGTGCCTCTGTCTGTCTTGCTGGACAGACCTCGGCTGGACAGGAGAAAGAATTTTATAGATAAGATACAACAAACAACGTTGAGACCGAGAAATGAAGAGCTCTGACTCCTTCCTCAATTGCCAGGCTGGGAAAAGAGACTTTCTGACATATCTTGGGGTCACTGTGAGCAGCAGAGATCCTGAGAAGAACACAGCGAGCACCGGCCGCCATCCCTCGGAATCCTCCCCTGCCAGCCAGGGATGCCAGCTGGGATTGCTGAGCTCCCTTCCTCTGCCCAGCCCTGGGCTTGTCCCAAATCCCTCTGTGATGCTTCAGAGCTCCCAGGCAGTGCTGGCTGGAAGGGTGACAGCTCCTCACCTGCTCTGAGCAGGAGGTCACTGGAGTAATTTGCACAAAATCCCCCAAATGCCGGTGGAATTTATGCCACTCTTTGTCAGCTGGGAACTAAGGACGGCTTAACTTTTATGTTTAATCCATAATGAGGTATTGATCTCGTGACAGCAGCTGCTCCCGAGGTGCTGCCCCCAAACTTTTATCTCTTGATAGACACCAATCAGGTACAAAATAATTCACATGCGCTAAAAAAGCAGGATTGTCTCCAGGAAGGAACCCAGCCTTCTCTTCCTGCAGATTAAGGACATGTGGATTTAACTGCAGTAAAATTGACTTGGATTTTTTTTTTAATGTGGCTTCTGGAGAACTAAGCACAGATGATATTTAAATTATCTTAAAAATAGGATTATATATCTAAAAAAAAATTCAAAAGCAGAACAAAATGAGCTGCCTTCCCTCTGAAGGCTCTGTCTGCAAAGGTCCCCAAAGCTGTGCCAGCCCACGGTTGCTGAAGGCTCACAGTGAACTCCAGTTATTTATAACTGGGAAATTGTAACTGGACCCTTGCTGGATGAAGCCTGAACTTGAGGATTGGGATATTTTGTGGTTTTTCTTTGGGCTTTGCACAGCCCATCCCAGCAGCTCCTGAGGGCTGGAGGAGCTGCAGATGATGTGGGGGCTCACATCCCTTCACTGTTCTGCTGCTGCAGGGGGCTCTGATGTGACCTTGGGGTTGTCTGTGCACCACCAGTGATTCCAGAAGCCATTCCTGCTTCTCTGAGGCTGAGTCTCAGCTTTTCCTTAAGCACAGTTTGCATTGTCCACTGTGTTTAATAATCCAGAAAAAAATTGGGACTATGTGAGCAGTTCTTTATTTCTTTCCTTCTAACAAAAAGTCTGCAGTGCTGCTTGGGAAGGTCAAGGCTGTTTGACACTGCCAGGATGCTGGTATTCTTGGAACAACCATCTGTTCAGAACACAGTGAAAAATCGGTTTGTGACTGCCCAAAGTCACTTCAGCTCATGAATAAAATTAAACAGGAAAAAAAAAAAAAAAGCACAGCAGTGTTTTGCCATCGACAACAGAGAAATTTCCATTTGGAAGAATCAGTATTTCTGTCCATGACTGTCCATGAGGGATGAGTGATGGTTTGTTCATGGGATTCAGGTGGTCCTGGCCAAAGGGGTGTCACAGAGAAAAAATGTGGGCCTTTGTCGGGGACGAGCCATTTGTTGGTGAGGGGAGACTCAGACACTCAATATGAGTGATAAGCAAATTCCGTTTATGGAAGAGAGCATCAGACACTTATACAGCAAGTAATAAGCTTATGAATATTCTGTAAGCCAAGCAATCTATTGGTTAAACTATACCATCAACTCTTCCTCATTCCTTAGGGGTTACATCTCTTTTTTCTCATGTCTCTTTCACTGTTTGTTATCCTACCACAGCTAGGCCCAAGGACACTGTTATCTTGCAGGTGCAGGACTTGGAATTAGCTGCAGTTTTTGTACTTTTCCAGTACTTAGCAGCTAAATTCCCAACAAAGGGGGACATGGATGTGAACCCCTGGGACTGTCACTGTGTGACCAGGAGGAATTGGCCCACAGGGGAGCTGGACTGAAGTGCACAGGACATGCTGTGCTGGGCACACCGACCCCCAGAGCTGGGATGGGCTGGAATCTCCTGTGTGCTGCTCCCCCAGCCCAGCCACGAGCTGCTTGCTTTGCTCCTTCCCCTTTCCCTCTGCTTCACTTGTACATTTGATGAAATTGTGTAACCTTTGGCAGATTGAGTGTCTTTTTTCCATGTCTTTGTTCCTTTTATTTTTCTCTCCCGGCAGTTTCCCTATTTCCTCATCTCTGCCTTATTCTTTTTAATCATTTTTTACCAGCTGCTACATTTTCATCTCTCACTCCATTCTTCATCCCTTAAGGCAGGATCCAAAAATACGATCCAGTGACTTCTGCAGGTTTTGTGGTTTGCTGCTTGGCCCCAGAATGTGCCACATTTTGATCCCTGTGTTTTCCAAAGCAAACTGGGCATTGTAGCCAGGCAGGGATTGCTCTCTGCTCCCAGGTAACAAGTCATAGGAGGAAATGGCATCAAGTTGCACCAGGGGAGGTTTGGATTGGATATCAGGGAAAATTGCACCCTGAAAGGGTGGTCAGGCAATGGAACAGAGAGGTGGTGGAATCTCCATCCCTGGAGGTGTTCAGAAGTTGTGGAGATGTGGTCCTTTGGGGCATGATTTAATGGTGGCAGTGGCAGTGTTGGACAGTGGTTGGACTCAGTGACCTGGAAGGCTTTTCCAGCCTTAATGATTCCATGATTCCACTCACACACCACCTTTTCTTTGCTTTTCCTTTGAGAATTTGAGATGTTCTTGCTGCTTCAATTAGAGAAAACACTTTTCCCTTGGAGCTGCTGTTGATGAATGCCTGTGTTTTCCAGGTGTGCTGTGACTTACCTGGTGCTGCTGTGGGATATTCATTGGAATATTCATTGGGATATTCAGTGCTGCTTTTTGGACAAACTTCCTGATACAGTGAGTAGAAAATCCCATCTCAAATATGGAAGGCTCTGTATAACGGTGTGGCTTACAAAGTCCTGGAAGTCCCAAGGTCAGGCTGGATGGAGCTTGGAGCAACCTGGGATAGGGGAAGGTGTCCCAGCCCATGGCAGGGGTTGGAAAGGTGAAAATCATAAGTTCTGGTGAGATATTGTATATGGCAGGCTGCTGAGAATTATTAACATTACAAAAAAGCTTTCTGGTGTGGGAAGTTTCATTAAGAGTTACGTCTCTGAGTTCAGTCCCAGTTTAATAAGAGGCATCTCCAGCTTCTTAAAATTTAATTTGATAGTTTATGAAGAAAATAATTAAAGCATATTGTGGCATCAGTCACTTTTTATTTCATAGAGAGTGTGTATGAAAAAAGAACCATTCATAGAGCAGACAGAGTTTATATTGGCCTGGAATTTCATTAGTCCTTATTGACAGAGCATCCACTAATCCAAAGTAAATGGGGAGGAAATGATGGAAGAAATAACAAAGGGTAATCTTGAGGCTATAAAAAATGGAAGTTGGTGGAAAGTTTGTAGAGGTTGCAGCTCTGTGGGGAAAGAAGGCGTTTCCAGTTCCTAATAATGAACTGGTGCTCCCATCTCTGGGAGATGAAGAGATAAACCAAGGGTTTGGGGCTCTTCAGTCACACCAAAGAGTGCATCAGGCAGGCAGAGAATCCTGGGATCATCAGTTGGAAAAGACCTTTAGGGCCATCAAGTCCAGGTGCCCATCCATCTCACGGTGTCACCTGAGGGCAGGTGAGCAAAACAGAACCTGTTGGATGCTCTTCAGCCATCAGAGCCCTGATTTCTGGGTCAGGACAAGCTGCTTATCTCCTCTTGGCACACCCTGTTACCTTTTCTCACTGACTTTCCCTGCACAGTTCTGCTTTGGGAATCCAAAATTAGAGCACCTTTTTTTTTGCCATAAAACTTTTGTGGCTCTCCCCAGGTCTCTGCTCAGATGATATTCACGAGTGCCTCATCTGCAGGCTGCACCAATAGGCTTCAGAGAGTGTCTTGAAGATTGGATTTGCCTCTGGAATGGTTTTAATCAAACTATTTTTTCCTGTCACTTTTTGGACACTTTACAGCTTTCAGTGACTGCCTTGAACCAGGTCCATAAGAATGTCTGACAAGCCAAAAATAGATTAATCTCAAGCCTGTGCTGCAATTACCACTTGGATTTCTGTATCACTCACTGCCTAAGTGGTTTACAAGCAATTACAGCCCAAGCTCTTGGAAGGAGCCTTCCCAGGGAGCTGTCCAGAGGGAAACAGAGAAGAGGAGGATCAGTCCTGTGGGCAGGACTGGGCAGCACCAGCCCTGGGATGGGCACAAGGGATGGTGCCCCAGAGCTCATCCAGCTTTGGGAGACCTGCCTGAGGGAATCTGGGCTCTAAAGGAGAGCCCAGGGGTCAGTGCTGACCTGGAACTGAGTTTAGTTGGGCTGGAGCCCTGCTGCTGACAGCCCTGGGTCTGTCCTGACTGCTGGGCTCAAGCCAGGGAGGTGGAAGGACAGAGAGAATCTCGAGTTGTTGCTCAGGTAAAACCAACATCTGATCAGAAAGATTTGGGATG